CTCCATTACTTGTTAGGCGTTTTGTCACGGTCCCCTTAACCTCAAGTTAATTGGCCGATTCGATGTGAGGGAAAATGTTTGAAGAACTAGGAAAAAGTATTTGTCATGATGCCGGTTATAAATGTGACCTTTCTAATACGATTATCAGAATTTCCTAAACGCACCCAAGAACTCAGAGGCATGATGTAAGATTCCAGGTAGCTAATAATAATAATAATAATAGGTATTGTTAGTTATGCTAACAGTAGTGATGGCATTTGGCATTATAATTCTAAACAATTTAGAATATTATTGAAAAAAGCTTATTTACTAGATTTATGCAAGAAAATTGTAAATATGTCCTAAGAAGTAATGATTTATCGAATAATGCATCAATGATAAAGCTTCAGATTTTAATTTGTTTGGGGGCAAAAAATAAAGGGTGAATCTAAAGACAGCTAGCACAATAAATGGGATAGAGTTTGACATTGTAAATGATAGTTAGAAAAAATATACAATGGCTACGGGGGAATAGTCATTTGGAAGCGGATGATAAGAAATAAGGAAAAAGAGTAAGAAAGATTGTAAATAATAGATAAAGCTAACCGAACTTAGATGAGATAATAAGCTGCTCTTTCTCGGCAGATCCTATAGCCAACCATCCAGCCTGTGGATATTTGAATGGGGTGGCGCCGAAATTGAAACGTAGTTCTGCATTTTTAAGAGAAACTGAGGGGAATAGACCGGCCTGAATCAAATGGCTTGGCACATCGAAAGCCTTGCCCAAATTTGCGCCTGAGCAGAAGCAGGGAATGAAAAATATAGAAAACCCAAGCGAAGAATAGTAAACAAAATGATGATCATAAAATGCAACATAAAAGAACTTATCACTTAGTTCAGAATTTGAGGAACCAAACATTAACAAATCGTGTAAATGCAATCTTTAAAAAAGCGTAGCAAAAGCTAGTCAAAATAAGACTTGGCTTTAATGAAATATTCAAGTATTTAATATACATAGTATTTAAAAATAATTCAATCTTAAGAAGGCCAAAATGGCCAGGATTATCGCTAAGCGTTAATGTATGTACTCAATTAGCAAGCATGGAAGCGAAAGAGCCAATTACTGAGATTATTAATATGTCATATTTACAAATAGTATGGAATCTCCATAGAGGAGCTACAAGTGATAAATTCAATAGCTTTCTTTGCGTGGTAAAAAATAATATGGCCTAAAGTGACTATTGAAATATTTTGTCCAGAACTAATCACAACGTGAAGGCTCAAACGATAAAAGTATGTAATATCTTGCACTTTCGGCTTTTTCTGCAGCCTTCTGTACTCCATCTAGTATATTTTTAAATTCAGTAGTATCGATACCTGGTGGAAAAGCATTCTGCTTCGATCTTAGGTCACAACTGCAAAGCTAATCGCTCTTCCTATCGTCATTGACGAGGGGTTCAGCAACAGACAAATCAGGACAACTGAGGTATAAATCTCTCCCCAATTTCAGCACTAAGTGGAAACACAGCTGATAAAGTCCATTCAACATACTCAAGCAAAGGCGAAACAAACCTAATTTTTGGCTCCCTGGAATCACGACTCCGGCAAATTTCAGGAACCTTTGTTTAGATTAAGATAGCCAAATGTTATAATCAGTTTAAATTCGCCAGGCGCTCAGCATATTGAAGCATTAAACTCAGACCTGACCTTATGCTGGCCGAAAATATCAGGCTATATCACTCAAATAAAAGCGAAGTCCTCGGGCAGTAACACAAAGTTATATACCAGACGCAATGCCTCATTAATTTAAAAAAATAATTTTATCTGAAAGTGTTTACTAGAGAGATATCGAATATACAAGTATAATCCGAACTGAAGCTCAATAAAAGCATCAGTGTAGTTTATGAAAATTCGTTGGCGTCAGCCTTTCCTTGAGTTAAAAATGCATTATGTTCCAGAAAAGAGCACATCTTAGGACAATAGTTTATAAGGAAATTCAGCCAAACTTTTTTTCACTTTAATCAGTGGATATTTTTTCGTAAATTTAAGGAAAAGAAATAAGTAAAAGTTCCGAGTGAATTTTAGTGGTGCTGATGATTGCACAAGAACCTCGATTAAATAGCCTAAATAATGTGAATTTATAATGCAAAGTTTGATAGTTACCATTTTTGGACCAACTTATGGCTGCATTATCGAGGTCTAAAAAACAGCCCACAGTATCACCAAGGCCAAAAGAATCACCATAAACATCAAATTGTCGCTTGTGAGAGGCTCTACCCGTGCCACCAAAACCAAAGCTCTCAGCATCTGTTCCTATTTCGTAGCTGGCCCGCATTGTTGACCACCCAACTCGGCAAAGGCCGTCGTCAGTCACAATGCATTCATAAAAGAAACGGCCTGAAGAAGATAAAAAGGAGTTTTCGCTAAGTTCAGGTGAAACCTCATAAATAAATAATGTAAATAATTCATATAAAATATTTGAAATCAGAAATGGATATAGGGAGGACTAAAAGAGAAAGTAGTGCCAAGAATAACTGACAGATTTAGGAAGTCTATGATATAAAACCCAAAAGTGAACTTTTCAGCAGACGATGTATTAAGAATAAGAGCGTTGTTTAAGAGTCCTAGTCATAAGATGACGAGGAACTTAAGTTAAATTTTCCAACGTGAATTACAAGGGAGGCTAGGCACCTGAAATATCAAATTTAAAGTAGGATCGTCGAACTGCAATCCACCCAAGAGAAAAATACCTTTATAGAAGGAAGACTGATGAAATTAGATAAGGCTGATTGGCAGTTTTGTGGGAAAATACAACTGTCGTTTCTTAATCATCTTATACGACCTCTGGTAATTAACTCATATTACAAATTTAGTGATAACATCCAAGCATACTTTTTATTAATATAAATAATTGTTTAGTTAAATAAATATGTTCATTAGGTTACAACGCGAATTTGCGAAATAAATATCGTCAGGAAGATCTAGCAAGATCTAGCAGGAAGAACTAGATATATTGCTGAGCACCTAGAAAAAGGCTTGTGTGATACTCCAAATTATCAATATTTATTCAATAAAATTCGGAATA